TTTTCGCTAGGTCGCTTCTCTCCCTAAGGATAGCAGATAGAAAAGCAACTACTCTTATACCTATTGTTACCAGAATTGTTAAGCAGGGGTCAATTATACACACGGAAAGGCTACAATTCGCTGTCATCTCTGGGATATATTCATCGTAGAGACAACCATTCAAGTGATTTTGTGGATCCCGTTACGAGGACACATACAAATTCTAATGAAGGATTTTGGGGCAAGTTGGAAAATAGGATAAAGGCTATAAATATATCTCAAAAGGATCTCATTTATAGTCATTTGGATGAATATATGTACAGGATATGGTGTAACTTCTCCATTGACAGTCCCATGCTAAACTGGGAGATTTTTCTCTCACATGTTCGAGAAAGATATCCCATGTAACCTTTTTTATTATCTATTTTATGCTTTTTTCTATAAATATACATTTCCATTCAACATATATGCCTCTTTAATGTGATTGGTCCGTTCGAGGTCGTTTGCTGATTGGTTGTTAGTGGTGTCGAAAGTTTAACTTTGCCAAAGTTTTGGGTAGAAACTAAGCCTAACTATAAAGAGTATATCAATAAAGTAGGTTACGTAACTACACAAGTTTTTTTGTTTATTTAAGATAACAGTAAGTTGAGTGATGTTCAGATGAAATGGTAACATTTTCTAGACAGAATGGAAGGTATATTAGAATACATGACTTAACTCTTTTATTTTTGTCCTGTTCAGATTGTAGTCATTTGAGAAGAACCCTTGAAATAATAGAAAATGAGCTTATGTGATCCTTGTACATTTATCACTCTTTCTTTGTTCAAACTTACAGTAATCATATCTTTTCTTCGTTTTGGAACAGGTATACTAAAAGAAAAACAGATTTACGTCATTGAGAAGGTTTATTGTGCATGAAACGTCATACTACTAACTGACTGAGATGAGTAGTTTTGTGCCACTCACAACAACCAGTGGTACTTGCTAGTCAGGTTGAAGTAATCGAAACACTTTTTTTTATTTCTTTCCCTTTCAGATACCTGTCATTTGTTGTGTGCCTGATAAAAACAGATGTACATACAGGAACTCTTCACCAGTACTGGTGCCTTTTATCCCATCTGAAGAACCTGACTTATTGCTTGTATACCACATGAAATACGCTGATATTTCATTGGATACAAGTTTTAATGAAACATCTCCAGATCTTATCAGAATTATAGATATGAATACTGGATATTCACTTCCTGTACCGTGTAAAGATCAGTCTCCTAATAATAATAATAACCAAACATCATTTGGTACTCTAACTTTTTCAATGCTCAAAAAACTCACTTCTCAGTGTCCACAGAATCGTAAGATCTCATCATTTCAGTGTAAAAAAGATTATTATATGAGTTGAATAATTCTTCTATGGCTGGCAGGCTGGAAAGTTTGAAATTACTTGTTGATCCTCAGGGCGGTTATTCTGTGTATTATTAATTTGTACACTTATAAAAAGATAATAAATAAATACAGACTTTTGAGATGATGCGTTTCTATTTTTGTTATTGAAAAACTTCACTAGTGTTAAATCAAAAAGCCATATTGCTTGTTGTCATATCCTTTTATGTGTGTGTGTGTGTATGCATCAAGTGTCTGGTGTATGGGATGTTGTTCAGTGTATGCATGGTGAACCTCATAGAGGGTATTAACTACTTAAGATGTCGTGGAACTGCGGCTCGTTGATGTCCGTGCTTGACTTACAACTAGTGGTTGGCGGGTTCGAATCCAGCTCCACGCACCGAGGTTTAAACAGCCCAGATAGTGTATAACCAGCCCTGAGACAATAGGTGTGGTTCATTTCCAACTGCTTGGGATTGCAAGTGATTGTTGAGTAACACTAAGTTGAGCTGAGTTTAATTTAAGATGCTGCGTTCATTCACTCAGATTATTCGCGAGCCCTAATAGCTCAGTGTTAACGTCTCTGACTGCAGCATTGGGTGACGCAGATTCGAATCTCAGAAGCCTAGGTCCAAGGCTTCCTGCCGATTGCTTCCAACCATCTAATACCGTCAAATGGTTTCTGTTTTGACAGAAATCACATTTTACTCCAGCATTATTATTACCATAAGTTTCGTGTGTGTGTGTTTCCTGGTGCCGTAATTACTGTCAACATTCGTGAATCACAACAATTTCAAGCGTACAAGCAACGAATTTCGTTGTGTGATTTAGGAGAAATTAGTGGTTTTCTACGGATTGTGATTGACTAAGTTTCAAAATAGAACTTCGCACAGAAGTGCACCAGTTCAAGTTGTCGCACTCCATACAGTACACAAAGGTAGAGAAAAAATATTCAGAAGAATCATAATGAGCAGAAATGTTCAGGGTAAACATTAGTGATATGGAGAAACATAAGGGTTCAATGGATATGGGTGATAACAACGAGTGAATGCAACTGGGCCATTGAAGATGATTTTGAGCCGTATCATCAACAGTCTCCAGCTATTGGTTCTTAGCATCTCGAGGACCTCAATCAAGTAGTCTGCACCTCCCCACGTGGCTCAAACCAACTGTCAGAGACTTCGAGGACTGAAGCGATGCTCTGACTCAACCAACCCTTACTGTTTTCTAACCTGGTCGTATGTCGGCTAACATTGTCCGTCGAGGAAAGCGATGGCTTAGCATGCGTAATATGTGTCTTAACCTTTTCAAACAGTATACCTTCACAAGCTTGAAAGGTGTACGTCGAAGCTCAATAATCCTCACCATATTATAACAGTTACTCGCTGTGCAGTACACGTGTCTTTTGATTGATAGCCGGATATCACATCTGCGCCAGAGATGATATAAGTTGGCGAATGTTACTTGAACGTTTTGGTATCCGTGTCAAGATTCCGTCACTCCTTTAGGACTGATGCGAATTCTTCGATAGGTGAAGTGGTCAAAACACTCTACCTTTTTATTCATATTTCTAAACTAAGGGTTGATGCAGACCAGTCCTGCAGCATCATCTTTTCATTTAACATGTAGGAGGACAATGTAAATCCGCAGGCTTTAAGTCTAAAACACTTGTACCCTAAATTGCTAAAAATAGATAGTATTGTAATGCTGATTTCAGTGGTTAAGTGTGTACGGCCTTAGAACCACTGTGGTTTTTGAGAAATACTAAATTACTGTACACAGCCGTGTCGTATCATCTAAATTAGCGACCACGTGAATGGCTGACTGAATTCGATCAGCATTAGGAGTATGTCAGCTACAGAAAGTCTCATCCAGTAACTGGTTAAGATGTAAAAAGTTGTTTGTTAGTAGATTATATACTATGGTAATTCGTTATTAATTCATGGATAATCCCCATTCAGGCATTAATGAAAACAAAACACCTAGTTCAGCGAAGAGTCTCTTTTCGGCGAAATCATTTTCTTGCCTGCACAATCTCAAATATATATGGGTTATTTTGTATGTATATGTATATTAAGTTTGTCAAACAAAAATACAACTGGTTATGATTATTTTAACTAAAGGGGGTAGTGAGAATTAGTCAGTTTTGGGTGGAGTTACATAACACGAAAACAGACAAGAAAATTGGGTGTTAATAAAACTAGGGTAGTAACAAAGGTGGTGAGTTGTCACAAACAGTTGTCAAAAAGGGGTTACGTAATAACATGAATAGTCTGATGATTGAGTTGTACTCGGGATACACATATGAACAAAGTAGAAAATACGAAGTTACATAAGAGTTCTAAATAAATACAAGAATTGCAAGTTATTAAAGAAACAGTCAAACAAACAAAATTAAGTCATCAAAAATCAACAAATTTGTTACCATGGTAGTAGAAGTGGTTGAGTAATTCTCTTTTGTATGTACAGCTCCGGCTTTTCGATGTAAACGGCCAGAGCTTGAGCGATACAAAGAAGACGAAACTCTTTTGCCTTTAGCAGGTTATTCTTGACTCTGTAGATTACTTCGAAGCAAGAGGTGTTTGTTGAGATGGAATGATCAGTGTTAACCAGGTGTTATATTATCGCACTCCTTATAGCACCACTATTGCCTTTTCGCAACCATGCTGGATAGGATGCTTGTCGAGCGACCTATGTACCTGGCTTCACAGCAACATGTGAACTGATATGTAGACATAGGAGTGGTCGGGTGCGCGACCTTGTCCTTAAGGCTTCTGAAAATCAGTGGGTGACTGGAGAACACTCTTCTTAGCGTTACTGCAAAGAATGTTCTCAGTGATGATGTGATCCTTCATCTTGAGAATATTGCTTGCTAAATCTCCTTTGAAATCCAAGTTCATGTAGAGTTTGTTTTTCAGCGGAAGTGAAGTTTCATTACTTAAAATTCTTAGTTTAATATTTTTATCAATGAATCTTGGTGGGTATCCATTTTGGATGAAGACTTCTCTCAAAAGATCTTATTCCGTTTCTAGAACATCGGCACTACAAATACGTTGGATGCGGGTGGCAAGGGATTCAATTAAATTCTGCCACTTGGAATAGTCAACTAACAAGCTTCTATTGCTGGGCTCTCATTCAACTAGGATCACATCATCTCTTGAGTTATCAGTGGAACAGAGAGCTTCAGTAGCGCGTCTCTACTTCACTTTGTTCTCTGCAGTATTTTCTAGCTGACTCCACATTCGTTCGTAAGCGTTCATTTCCTCTTGACTCAAGTATCTACTACGGATTCGTTTACCACACTATAAGTCACACATAAATTGTATGTGACAGTCAATGATAATATCCACCTAATTATGCGGAAACAAATGCCATATTATTTAGTAATTCAGTGCTTCAATCATTTAAGTAGAGTATCACCAACTCATATCATTTTATCGGGTCATTTCAATGGTTAATTCTTTTTTTACCATTCATGCATATCACACTAAGGTTAATATTCATCGTAACCGCAAAATCAATTTTCGCTTAGTATTAACTGCTATAAAAACTTCAATTGTTTTTCTCCTTTTTTTCCTTTTTAGGAGTCGAATTAAACATCCATGTTGTAATGGTCTTCGTGTATAGTTCTTCAGCTTGGGATGAGTACGACTAGCTCTCTTTGTCCACTTGAAGGTAATCTCTTTTCGATTATTGATTATTTACTAAAACGTTTTTTTTTTTACAGACAATGATACACCACAGCAGTGTTTATGTTCTCTTGATTATTCTTCATTCCCTATTATACTGTTGCATAGTCTTCCATTGAAAGTGCAACGTTTAATAGCAAATCGATTAAGTCGTGCTAGTCTACCTCAGTTTGTTTTAACTACTCATGAAGGAGGTCAATGGTCATTGGTTCAATTAACTATTAGTCATTTAAAACCATCAACATCATCATCGTCATCATCGTTGAATGAATTTCGAAACAATCATATAGTTAAGGTTAATTCCAGTAAAGCGAAACCATTGAAAGAAGTCAATAAAGAGTAGGTGGTATTGCTGTAATCTTTTTGTTTTTATTTTAATCATATCAGTTAGAGAACCATTGAAAACCAGGGAGTACTGGACAGCCAGCTGTTTCATCCTAGTTTGTGAATCATCTGCAGTACACACCCACCGCCGGTGTTCGAACCCAGGACCTTCCGGTTACAAGGCGAGCTGGTATACTATTTGGCCACTGGGACCCGATTTAATGGCCATTACATGAATTCTAACTTCTACCAATTTGTGATTTAGCGCAACCCCAACCAATATCGCCGATGTTCCCCAAACTAGGATGAAACAGCTGTCCAGTACTTCAGTGCTGGTTTTCAATGGTTCTCTAACTGATATCAATCCGTGGTCAACTCGTGAAAACAAAACTAATCCTTACAAACCAACTATGAAAAATTTAATCACATCATTATATATTCCTTTGGATTTAAGTTATCGCATTTACTTTATGGATTTTAAAGATATTGACACAAGATAGTTTATAAACTAAGCTATGTAACCAAGATCCTACTGCCTAATAAATGTGCAGAAACAAATAGAGGTGGATTGGAAATACACTGAGAAGACAATTGAGTGACATAATGCGCCTGGTTATCGGGTGAGGACGTAAATATAAAACGTTAATTTGGGTTTGGATCCGAGGGTGACATTCAGGAGATCATGTTAGGAGAGGAGATAAGAGTTTATGGGCTAAAGACGACTGAAGAGATTCGGGGCCTCCAAAGCCTTAGGATGGTCGGGGGTGGGTGCCTTGCGCTGCGGGTTGGCCACCCCTCCGTACACCTCTTGAAATGCTCCCATATGACCGGGCGTCTTACATAGCCTCTCCTGAGGAAGTCCTACTCACTGCCTACACGTGGCGGAGGTGTTTCTCACCAAAGTGAGAGGGCGAAAGCGGATGCCCGGCGCTCTCCACCGGGTTGACTGTCCATTGGATGACGGTCTAGGGGAGATGGCTAAACCCTGATTCCAAACCTCCAACGACTGGCGTATGAAGCTCACTGGAGCTCACCGGCAGACGTATGGACAAAGGGCTTGTTGGATGTCCTGGATGTCTGGCCCCATTCAAAAAGGCGTATGAACCGAACTCCGGTCACCGGCTGCCAATGGATAGTGGACTCCTTACTCCACTCCTACTGCCTTGTAGGTCACACTTGGCTGTGTAAAGGCTAGAGCTGCACTCTCAAACAAAAGGCCGAGCGATGCTGGGGACATCACTCGTACCAAATTCCCATGAAACTTCATGAAATCTCTTACAAATTGCCGCGCCTGGGCAGCGATGATTCGAGATGTTCATGAAGCCGGCTCATCCTCCCGTAGGAGATAGCCGAAGTAAAGTAAAAGTAAGTAAGAAGAGATCCGGGTGGAATGGAGGTGGGATGTTGAAGCCCTATGCTCCACTTAGCATCCAAGGAAAGAATATTAAGAATAATTTAACTATTTTCACCAATCTATGGAAGTTTTACAGTCGATTTCGTGGTAAAGGAAAATTATTGGGATAACATTGATTTTCCCGTTGGTTAATTTTACTGAAGTGAAATGTTCAGTTGCTGTTGATATGTTGTTTCCTAGGATAAACGCCTAGTCGATACCTTGACTATGTTAGCTATCATAAACCAAACAGCATCGTTATTTAACAGTGTATTGATTGTGACGTCTATTTATAAGCATGGTCATTATTCTGATTCTTGATTGGGTTGGATTTTCGGCAGACAACAGTGGAATCCCAATTATTTTTATTTCATCTAATGCGATATTTTGGTAGCAGAAATAACTTGACTTGCAGTTCAGTTTTTATTTTAATTCTTCTTTTATTCTACACTCGATTCGATGTGTACTATTCTAAATGCCATTTCATCAATCATGGCCACATCATCGTGCACTCTGAATTATGATTAAGTAATTGAGGGCAATAGGTAGGAAGCCTTGCAGGATAGGTTACGTGCTTGTTGGTGCTCGTTAGCAAGGCGTATCTGCCATCTTAAAGGAACTCATATGCCTTCTGAGATTTGAATTCGGGTCATCAAGAATTCAATCTACACCAACATCAAGAGCTAGACGCCTGATATTTGTTACTACTCTAGTGTCCAGTCAAAGTATTCACTACAGGAGGTCAGTCGAATGCATGAACAGATTAGTAGTAACGTCTCTGATTGCAGTCCTCGGTAACCTGGGTTCATATCTCAGAAGGGATATAGATTCTTTTAAGATTGCAGATACGCCTTACTGGCGAGTGCCACCAATCATGAAACCTAGGTTCAAGACTTCCTGACGATTTCCTCCTTGTTCCTTCACGTTCTCAGTGAAATATAGGGCTTCAAGCTAGAGGTTTGTAGTTTCTGTAGCAGTATTTATCTTTACAGGATGGGGGTTGCTAGCCTCATGCCCAACCTTTCCTCTTTACCAGCTTTTTATTTCCGGCTTAGCGAGGTAAAGGAGTGCGTTGGTGGCCGGGGATCGAACCCCGGACCATGTTCATGGTCGGCGAGCGTCCTAACCGCTGTGCTACTGACAGATATATATATATATATATGTATACGTGTTTGGTGTTTTTAAGTGTAATAATGTGTTGTGATAAATGTTTACCTTGGAATCAGCTTTCCACATATCTAGGGTTATATTTGTGGTGTTTTCATATTGCGTGTCGATCAACATATATATCTTAGTGGTGTTGTGGTGAGAGCTGTCTACTAGCCAAAATTGCTAGACAACAATTTACGTCAATGTTTACGTCCCAAATCTTGGTCATGAGGAAAAGAAAAACAAAGAACTTGTGTGGGCGGATACAATTCGCAGATAGATGATATGACCATCAAAGAAACGGCCACAAACAGATGATAGATTAACTTTCAGTGAGAGAACAACCAATCAGAAGACTGTGTTTGTCTGCTAACAATAACCTATAATAATATACATAAAAATATATAAATATCTCTTGGTTTCCTCAATAAACGATCTGTTGCCTGGCCCTTGTCTTCTGTCGTTACAGTATCACTGCATCAGTTTTGTTTTGCCTATACAAGATATTATATATATATATATATCATAGTTTATTTATATTCTTTTAATGATATATACAGATATAATTCAATGTACATATGATATTTCAGATTTGAATCGTCTCCATCCACAGATTGGATTGTATCAATTCACCTGAACATAGATCCGTATACTACGGCTTATTTTTATGATTCTTGTGTACAATTCAAGTTAAAAGCCAAAGAAGCAGATAAAAATTGTTGGTATTGCCCATTTTGTTCAGCTGTTTACAATATCAGTAAGTTGCTTGCTGTATAATAAAGATGTTGTACTCTTCTTTCTACCCTGGAACATTGCAAGTGTATTCCTTGAGTAATTCTAAAATAATTCTGTAAAGATTGATTTGAAAGATGTAGAATGCTTTGCAACCATGCCTCATATTGTCCAAGTTCGACCCCCTGTCGATACACTCCTAAAACCACGTCTAGCTTATTGGTAGTTAGCTACGTAAAGGGAGGGGGAAGTTGGACTTGAGGCTAGCAACCCCTTTTCTAAAGAAAAACAACACCCCTACCCCTGAAAATTCAAAGCTGAAGGTTGATATTCCACTTGGAACGTAAAGTAATACATATATACGTATATATGTAACAACAGAAGACAAGGGCCAGGCAACAGATCGTTTTATTATGAAAATCAACACGTATTTATATATATTTCACATACATTATTATAGCTTATGCAAGTAGACAAGTGCAGTCATCTGATTGGTTGTTTATCAGAAGTTAAGCAGACAAACGCAGACTTCTGATTGGTTGTTTCGGGATTCCTCGAAAAATAGAGTTCTCTATCTGCGAATCATATTTTGCCACGTTAAGTCTTCTGTGATTGGTTGTCGAATCAGCCTTGTACATATTTTCTCACGGCCTGCTCTCACCATATATATATATATATATATATATATATATATATATATATATATATATTATATATATATATTTTAAAAAAAATTCGTCCTTCTCCCAACCAGGCACCTATGGCTTATAGAAGTTAGCCATACCAGACCAAACCTTGTTGGTTGGATTCAGATTTCTGCTAGGTAACAAAAAGTCAATTTATGTGCACATTATAACCCCTATGCTGCTGCTAATAAAGTATAACTTATACATCTGACCCAACAGTTGTACGACAATGCTGCGTGCCAAGTAATCCAGAATGGGAAACTCACGGAATCCTTTGAAGTGAAGATGGGAGTAAGACAAACTGCTTGACAACTACCTCCAATGATTTTACTGATTGCGGTAGACTGGATTATGCGACAGACAATTAGCGGGCAGCAAGGAAACAAGCATTAAATGGACCTACACAAAAATCTTGGAGGATCTGAACTTCGTCGATGATATATGTCTGATTTCCTAGAGATTGGAAGGTATGCAAGTGAAAAGCAACAAGTTGGCAGAAGAAGCATCCAGACAAGATAGGACTTCAGGTGAAAATAGAGAAAACAGAGGTGATGAAGATTCCTGGCCAACAGCAACAACAACAGTCAGCATAAATGGGAGAAATCTGAAAGAAACAACCTCCTTTACCTACCTACCTAACTCCGCGGGAAGCATCGTTTCAACTACAGATGAACGGATCTGATGAGGATATCAAAGCGAGGATTGGGAAAGTAAGGCAAGCTTTCATTTCTCTCAAGTCTGTATGGAAGTCAGCAGCACTCAGCATGAAAAATAAGATCCAGATTTTCAACTCCAATGTGAAGTCAGTGCTACTACACGGATCAGAGACTTGTACTGCGCGTCACGAATGGCACTTTGAGCAAACTACAGACCTTCATCAACAGCTGCCTTCTCTCAACACCACTCAAGATCAGGTGGCCGGCCAGAAAGAATCAACAACAGGGATCTCTGGAAGCGAACCGACCCAGCAAGAACCGATTGTGCAACAAATATGCAGGAAGAAATGGAGGTGGATTGGCCATACTATGAGAAGACAGCCAAGCGACATCACACTCCAGGTCATTGCTCGAGTGGAACCCGAATGGGAAGCGAAGAGTTGGTCGTCAGTGCGAGGTTGGGGTGACGTGGAGGACGTAAGCGAAGAGGAAATGAAGGCATGTGGGTAGATGTGGAGCCAGGTGAAAACGTTTATAGAGAACCGAACGCAATGGAGACGTGCGGCTGACGCCCTATGTTTCTCTAGGAACTAAAGGAAACAATAATAATAACAAATAAATAATCTCATAATATTTAAGAAAAAAATGATGAATCGGCCTTACAAAATGGAAGATTGTATATAATAGATGAGTGAATAAGTGTGACTTCCAACTGTTAAGAGTAACATTTCTGATTGTGGTGGACTGGATCATGTAACGTGCTATGCGTTGAGAGCAAGACGATGGCAATACGTTGGGCCTATAAGAAGACTCTAGAAGATTTGAACTTCGCAGCTGATTTCTGTCTCATGTCACACAAACTCGAAGATCTATAGGCGAAAACTAACAATGTTGGTAGAAGAGGTAGCTAAAACAGGACTTCAAGTGAACATAGAAAAAAATTATGGTGGTGAAGATACCTCACCGACAAAAACAAGCACCAATCACTTTTAACGGGAGCAGCATCATTTCATCTACAGACGTTATAGATGAAGACTTCAAAGGAAGGATCGGAAAAGTAAGACTAACTTCCATTGATCAGAAATCAGTGTAGAGGTCAACTGTACTCAGCATATAAAGAACAAGATTCTGATTTTCAACACTGATGTCGAGTCAGTGTTTCTGTGTGGTTCAGAGATATGGCATAGGTGTCATGAAAGGTATTTCTAACAGGCACCAGACATTTATCAACAGCTGCCTTCTCTGAGTACTGAAAATCATATAGTTGGCTAGAAAGATAAGCAACTAGGGACTCTGACAATGGACCAATCAATATCCTGTTGCTCAACAAATATGAGGAGCGGAAATGGAGGTAGATTGGAAATACGCCTAGGAGACCGTTGAATGATATGATCCGCCAGGCGCTTAAGTGGAACTCGGATTGGAAACGACAAGTCGGGATGACTTGGGGGTGATCGTGTGAGAAGAAAGCGAAGGCTTGTTAATAATTGTGGAACCAATCTAATATAAGACTGCAGAAAACCGTTTGATATAGTGATATGCCACTGAAACCCTATAATCTATTCGGAACCAGAGGAGATAATAATACTAATAATAATAATAATAATAACCAAATTGGTATTAGCAAGAACAATGTAAAGAAATGAAAGTGAGAAGTAATAATACTGATATGAAAGAAACCATGTGGGAGTGTAATGTTGGAGTGAAAATCAGAGATTTAAATTATCTGTCTTCTCGAAACAGAAATCAGATTAAGTTTGATGGATTGTCAAGGTTTTTGTAAGATTTAATGAATGAGTTTGTGTGCACTCTTCACACAGATGAACAAGACCTAAAACTTTACTCTGTCTGTTTGTTGTCGACATAGAACTTTGCACCGATGTGCTGCAGTTCAAGTCGCCACACTCCATCTAGCACACAAAGCAAGAGAGGAAAGTAGAAGAAATGCAAAATAGAGTCAGTAGACAGGCATATGAGACAAAAGGAATAGTAATAACGAAGAACAATATAGTTTTATTCGGTATTATAAGTCACAAGGAGTGGATGCATCTGCTCCAGCCGTTGAGAACGATCACTTTGTGCCATATCACCGACTATCTCCAGCCGTCATTGGTTTTTACCGCCCCGGGGACCTCAGTCAGCCAGGAGTCTACTCCTACCTACATGGCTTAAACTATCTCAATTTCTTACTCAATTTATAAATGTACCGTTTTTTTCTCTATAAGTTAGCTTAGTTACCGCTCTTTTTGTCTTACCTGCCTATCTTTCAATAGTTTATAGATACAATTATTGAATACATATTGAATTCAAATTTTAGATAAAAAACAATTTCCATTTAAAATTTATGCCAAATGATTTCGCTACATTATTCAAAATGATTTTTAAACAGCACCAACAAAAAGGTGTTTAACATACATTTCAGATGTTGGCGATGATGTAAATATCCTAAAACGACATATGCGTCTACATGTTGAACTTCGTTGTTGTATGGATTGTGCAACTTTATTACCAAATAGTACATTTTCAGGGAATTCTGAAACATCAGAACATGTACATAAATGCAGTGAATTAATAAGCTCTCAAGCAAAAGATGATCCACAGACATTGTCTGTTAATACTAGTCATATTTCAACTTCATCTTACGAAACAGTAGATCTTCCCATACCAAGTGAGTTATCTTTTTTTCTTTCTTCATGGATTCGTTGATAATACACAAAATAAAATAGGTAAAATAATGATCTGTTTTAATCAGAAAAAACAGTATTTATAATGCAGCATGGAATTCTCAGCATTTGTCACAGTATTGCATCTGATTTCCTCAGTGGGGTGTAGCAGGTCGGGTATGAGGACAAATACTCGCCGAAGACATTGGCCAGCGGTCGCGCTATGTCTGAATTGGCAGAAGTTAGAATTCATGGGCCATTGGATTGGGTCCCAGTGGCTTAATGGTATACGAGCTCGCCTTGTAACCAGAAGGTCCTGGGTTAGAACCCCGGTGGGTGTGTACTGATGAAGAGTCCCAAGCTAGGACGAAACAGCTGTCCAGTACTCCCTGTGGGTTTTCCAATGGTTCTCTAACTAATGTCAGCTCAAAATGAAAATCCTGTAAAATTAATATAAAATTAACCACAGGAATTTTTCCACATTTACGGTATAAAGTCAAAAACGTTTGAAGTTCAAAATGGGAATAATAGATATAATAATAATAACAGTGAGTTTGTTTCAAACAGTATTATCGATACAGTTTGAAAATTTTAGCGTATTAGGGAGTATTGAGCCTAATGTTCTCTTGACATAGAATGGTGAGGGGAAAACAAAGAGTAACAGGTTTTACTGAGCTTGAGTGACATTTACACTTATGAGAACATAAAGAAAACAAGAAAATGAGAGGATTATAAATATAAGAATAATAATAACAGCAACGCTTGGTGGAATAGGAGTGAAGAAAATAGTTTATTTATTAGTGCTAAGAAGGTTAGTTCATCAGTTCGTCCGTGACACTATTTTCTTTACTTAAAATACATGCAAAATATGGCATCGTGCGTGCATAAAGTCTTTTGAAATGACCTTTTCCTCACCTGAGGAGACACAAGGCGAAAGTCGTGGGTAAGGTGGATGCTCACATTTTGATAGAATTTCTTTAATAGATTTGTTGCATGGAACTCAGCGCCTGTCAATGACGACGTCGATGATATGGCCCAGTGGGATACCATTCGCCCTATTGACAGTCTTCAGAGTTCTACCAAGTATGGCATAGTCTTTTTAAGCAGTTCAGGAAAGAATAAGTGCCAACAGTAAAGAGGAATAGTAAGATGTAAGAGATGACAAACTGTAAGAGGAGGGGTTGATTAGTGCCTAAATGCCTTAACTTCTAGATATAAAAAGTCAGACGAGATGTTTCAAAACTGACTGTGGTCCCAAAGGGCTTGACAGTAAAATCAATGACTTCATCATTGGATAATATAATTTGGAGTTATGAAATTTTTGTAGATTTTCTTTCCTCATGATATACTTTTGAAGCGATTTCAAAGTATACTACTTATATTGTTCAAAGTATGTGTGCAATAAACTTGAAAATAAATTTGCTCTTCATAGTGTGAAATCAAAGTCCACGTAATTCTAGGGGTAATTTTTGCCAAAGAGATCAATAAATTATATCACGATTCGTTTTTAGGGTTTTTAAGTAATCCTCTTTGTAGTGGTTGCATACGCGAATATTTTTATTTATCTATAAATCATGGATTATTATCACATTAATTATGTTATCTATCTCAATCTCTTTAGATAGTGTGATAATCCATACTGAGAGATAAGCTCGGTTTTTGGTATAAGGAGAAATATTCTCGACTTCAGTCCTATACTGTACGTTTTAGCTGACATGGGTTTGGGTTGGAAAGGAGTTAGGCGTGGTCAAACCAAAACCTGTCATCAGTCTGTCAAGTCTTTGTCAGTCCGGTTTGAGTCAACTACGTAGGGAGGTGAACACTGCCACATTGGGGTTCTTGGGATGATAACAACCAATGGCTTGACACTGTTGGTGATATGTCACAAAGGTTTTCTCGATAGATGAGATGCATTCACTCTGTGTGGTCTTCCGAATTCATTTCCTCCCATATTACTTTTTTTTCCTCGTACCTTTCTGCTCATTATAATTGTTTCGAATCTTTTTTTCTCTCTCTCTCTCTCTTTTCTCTGCCTTTGTGTGCTATATGGAGTGTGACGGCTTGAAATGGTGCACTTCTGTGCAAATTTCTCCTTTGAAACTCATTGACACAAATATGTTTTCTCTGAAGTTATATCCAGATTGATGTGGATTTTGTACAAAAGTTGACCATTTTAAATTATCGAATTATCTCAATAACCACGTGTAAAATAAAACAGCATAAATGGATTGACGTCAAGCTAAAAACGACAGATAGATAGAAGACAATAATTTTAAACAGTCCGGGGTTTGACCCCGCTGCCGACGCACACCTGATATCTATGGTCGGCCTGCAAAATTTGGGCTACGGATATCACATGCTGAAAATTCCTTACCTGTACCAAAACATACGGTGTGGAATCAAGTTGTAATCAAAATAATAACTGGCCTTTCCGATATTTTATGGATGGTACGTTATTTCAGACGTTTTTGAACCATTTCAAGAATAAAGGTCTTTATCAGATGTGAATTACGTACTGGCCTGCATTGAAATCCAGCTGAATAATAATAATTAATGAAAGTGTTGAACGTGTTAACCAAACCGAAAAACCGAAGTTGTCTCGTCTATATTGTACTGGCTGATGATGAAATCGCAACACAGATACAATAAAGTGCCTTTGGTATTTTTTGACACAGGTGTAACTTCCAGTTAAAAACATTGAAGTGTATATGTGCTGTGCAGAAGTTCACTTCTTTGCACTGTAACTGTTGAGATTTGGCTCCAAAAGTTAAAGTTTATGCGGCAAAGTTAAACTTTAAGCACCATTAACTACCAATCAGCGAATGACCTCGAACGCATCAATCACATGAAGGAGGCTTTTTTGTGTATGGAATGCATATATTTATGAAAAAATGCACAAAAACTGTACAAAACTGTTACACAAGATGCCTTTCTCTCATATGCGATAAAAATGTCTGTCTGTCTGTTTTCGACATAGAACTTTGCACAAATGTGCGGAAGTTCAAGTCGCCACACTCCGTGTAGCACGCGAAGCAAGAGAAGAAAGTACAAGAAAAGCATAATAGAAACAGTGAGCAGAGGTGTGAGACAAAGGAGGAGTAATAACGAAGAACAAAACAGTTTCATTGGAGATCATAAGTCACAAGGAGTGGATGCATCTGCGCCACTGAGAACGATTTTAAGCCATGTCACCAATTGTTTCCAACCATAGATTTTTACCGTCCCGAGGACCCCAGCCTGGAAGTCTACACCTTCCTACGTGGCTTAGACCAACTGTTGTGGATTTCATTGACTGGTGAGGCCAAGTTTCTGTTTGACCGCCGCTAGCTTTTTTCCAGCCTGACCCTATATCTGCTAACATTGCTCGTCGAGGGAGGCGATGGCTTGGCATACGTAACACATGTCCTAACCATCTCAGTCTTTGTAACTTCACGACTTCGTCGATTGATTTCCCCTGTTTACCTAGAACTCGACGCCTAACCTCAATGTTGCTCACCTTATTATGCCACTTTACACGGGAAATAGAGCGGAGGCACCTATGATCAAAGACAGCTAGTCTTTTCATGTCTTCCACTCTTAGTGGCCAGGTCTCACAACCATAAAGGAGGACGGAGCGGACTGATGAGCAGTACAAACGCCCTTTGGTCGTCAGAGATCAACCCGTTGGGGCTGAATGCGATATCGCATATCGCATTTTATTTATGCGATAAAAATAGCTGTCGATTTTAGGTTGGAGTTTCAACAGTGTATAATTCCATTGTGGGTAAAATTTATTTTGATAGTCAATATCAATAATTTTGATAGTCTGATAGTGTAATACAGTAATATTTACTGAGTGATAAATTGTGCTCGAAACTCCATCAATAAATATTACTGTATAACACTGTAAGCCTTTATCAAGATACATTTTACCCACATTGGAGTTATGCTGTACCGCAATGCACATCTTCTATTCTTATATCAACAGAGTAATTTAACCACATTCTATGCATGTAATTATTTAGGTCTTCTAACCCTAATCTTTCCTGAACGTAACCCTGGCTTGAAAATATCCCTGAACTTACTGTAATTTAACTCGAAACAATCCTAATATCACCTTTATAAGGTTAACCTAACCCCGATTTGTCTTTGACTTAAAGCGTAACTTCATCTTTCACAAACCTTAGCTGAAACTTGCCAGTTATTGCATTTAATAGAATAACACTTCAATGAGCATATTTTATTGATGATGACAACGTTATTTACCGGGTTTCACTAGCTCGCTCAGTGAGGGTTTCAGCGTCACTGGTGCGTCGCACTCCATTGGTTGTTAGTGGTGCTTAAAGTTTAACTTGACCGTTTAAGTGAAGATTAGTAGTTTGTGAGCATTGATGCCTTTGCTTAGTTCCTTGGGTTAGATGAGGATATGTGTAACGACAGAATAAAAAGGCCAGGCAACAGATCGTTTATTGAGGAAATCAACAGATATTTATAGATTTTTATATACATTATTATTCGTTATTGTTAGCAGAGAAGTAACGTCTTCTGATTGGTTGTTTTCCTGCTGAGGGTTATTCTGTCAACTCTTTGTTGGTGTTTCTTAGTCCGGTGATATATCCGCGAATCGTATCCGAACACGCTAAGTCTGCCGTGATTGGTTGTTGAGTTCCTCAAGGTTAGGCTTTGTTCTTGTTTTTTCTCATGACCAAGATTTGGGACGTAAACATTGACGTAAATTGCTGTTTACCAATTTCGGCTAGCAGACATTTTTTCCTTCACGTTCCCAGTGGAACATAGGGCCTCAAGCTAGTGGCCTGAAGTTTCTGTAGCAGTGTTCATTTTACAGGATGGGGTTGCTATCCTCATGCCCAACCTTTCCTCTTTGCCAGCTTTTTATTTCCGGCTAAGCGAGGTAAAGGAGTGCGTTGGTGGCCGGGGATCGAACCCCGAACCATGTTCATGGTCGGCGAGCGTCCTAACCGCTATGCCACCGACGCCAGACAGCTCTCATTACATATGTAGTATGTCATAATGTGAGGCTGGTTGTAGTGTTAAGTTTGCAAATAAAGACAGTAGATACTGTTATAAAGTTCGATTGATTAAGTTAACTAGGATATGCATGACATCTGTTGACGCACTATTTCCTTCAATCAGCAACGTTGGCTGATATTGAGTGAATATTAATAAGAACTAGATGAGGGTGGGGAGCAAATGACAACACGGCCATCAATCTCTGAAGTCGTTAATAAGGGATACAAGGAGGTTTAAATTACTTGGATGTGGTTTTCTGGCTGTTAGAAATTAATAGTTGGTGACTTTGGTGATACGTCTCGAAATAGTTCACAGTGGTGTGTATCTATATTCACTTTTTTAATAATCCAGATTGTAAAAATTCTCACTAATCTCTTTCCTGTATGTCTCCGTTCAATGTGGTTCCACTACGTTAATTTTTCTCTACTTTTGCATGTCCTCCTTCGCAGTGCTTCTGACTTTGAACTGCAACTAACTTTTGCGCTGCTAAATTAGTCAGTTGGGTACTAAAAGGTATTAGATACTACAATTCCATCGTGGTAAATAGTTGACTTGTGGTTGTTACATGACTCAGATTACATAATTGTTATTTAAAAAAACCATCTTGTGAAATTTTTGTACTCATTTTATTACTGTGGGGAATCATATATATTTTCAGGTATTGGTTTTGTAGGGATTTTTTGTTTGATTGCATGGAGGATTTCATCATGAGCTGACATCAGTTAGAGATCCACTGGAAAAACCTGGGAGTACTGGACAGCTGTTTCATCCTATTTTGGGACTCTTCAGCAGCACGCACCGTGACCATTAGGATACAGCAGGTTGAAGATGAGGCAGTAACTCATCGAAGGAGACATTGCGAAATGGTCGCGCTATGTCGTCAATTGGCAGAAGTTAGAATTCATGGACTTACCATTGGATCGGGTCCTAGCGGCTAAATGGTCTAAGAGCTCGCTAGCCTTGTAACCAAAAGGTCCTGGGTTCGAACCCTGGTGGGTGCATACTTATGAAGAGTACCAAACCAGGATAAAACAGCTGCTATCCAGTACTTCCAGGTTTTCCAGTGGTTCTCTAACTGTTGTCAGCTCATGATGAAATCCTCCATGCAATCATACATATCTTGATAAGCTGTTCGACTTGTTTGAATGAAAGGAAAATCAATTCCTAATTATGAATTCACTTTGAATCGTACTAATTGTCAACATCATTGTAATCATGTAGATTCAATCGGCTAATCTGTCGACTGGTTCCTGATTTTAATAGTTCTCTATTTGACTTCATTTTTTGACTATTGCACTGATATTAAATGATTGTTTTTCTTCATCCATAGGTTGTAGCAAGTTTTTACCAACAGTCCTTCTACGAGCCGTACGGGTATAAAATACCATCCCAATAGTGAAACATATTATCTTGATAGATTGCAAGTGTATCATTGTAGCAAAGAAACTCAATCTCAGAAGCACGAAATTCCCTCAACGTCAGTTACTTTAAATTCTTCCTCAGCAGATAGTATTGAAGGGAACTGGCGGCGTTTTTGTACAGTATGTTTATTGCTTATTCACTTGTATTTTTCTAACTTAATATTTGGATTGTTGTAACTGTTCATGATTATTTAATTCAGTTTTAGATTTTCTCGTCGACTGATTGGACCGAAGTGCTCGGTCTGAGGTTGACATGTCGGCTTCTTGTGCAGATGCTTCGACAATGTCTGGGTTTGTAGTTAGAAGTTAATTAGTAGGTGGTGACTAGCAATGGAATCCAGCATGCGCATTTCGTCCTATTTAGGACGCTTCAGTTTTCGAAACTATGCGCACTGGGTTTGAGCCTCGGTGGGAACATCATCACTCACTGGAAAATGCAGGTACATCCAGATGACGAGTCCCAAATAGGACGAAACACGCATCCTGGATTCAACTGCTAGTCACCATCCACCAATATTTTCATGATTATTATTTCGATTACATGTATTATATAAGGATTTTCATATGGTAAAATTGATTACAGATAGCTTGTTTTAAAGAACGACTACTGAGATGTACACTTATTGTACAAATTCATATTCAAGAACGTTATTTACAGACAACAACACGGGATCGCAATGGGATCTCCACTCTGGCCCGTTGCTAGCAGACTGCTTCGTGGCAAACCTCAAGAACTGCTGATAACTTCCAGTTGTATGCTAGATGTGTGGACGATATCTTTATTATCTGTGCTGGTGGTCACGGTCTTAATCAGTTACTACAAATATTCAACAACTGGCCATTCAGCTACAAAGTTTTACTCTTGAAATAGAAAACGGATCTAGAATTCCTTTTCTTGATGTTAAACTTACTGAAAGAGCTGACGGAACTTTAAGAAGGTTCATCCAGAGGAAACCCACATGGAACAGCCAACTGACAAGCTTTTACAGATGGGTTCCAATCAGTCGAAAAAGAAACCTAATTAGATCTCATGCTACTCGCGTCCTACGCATCTGCAGCTCTGAAACGCTGGAAGAAGAACCACAATTCCTGAAAGAAATCTTCATACAAAACGGATATCCACCCAGATTCATAGACAGAAGCATCAAACAGAAAATCCAGAAGCAAGAGACGCCATACGTACCAAAAAAGATACTTTATGTGAACCTTGACTTCAAAGCTGACCTACTCAGTGATGTCCTCAGAGGGAGAATTTACACTTCTTCAAGAAAAACTTTCTTTGTGGGAGCACTGAGAGTAGTGTTCTCCAGTCGCCTGCTGATCTGCAGAGGCCCAAAGGACAAGATCTTGCACCTGACCACTTCTATGTGTATATATCAGTTCACCTATTGCTGTGGAGCCAGGTGCATCGGTCAAGCGATGCGCATCCTGTCAAAAGGGGTCAAAGAACACTGTTCAGCATGGCTGCAGAAAGGAAGTAGTGGCTGTATAAGCAGTGCAATAATCGAACATCTCGCCAACACTGGTCATTCCATCTCAAAAAACGCCTCCTTCAAAGCAATCTACAAAGTGAAAAACAACCTGCCAAAGACAATACGTTACCGTCTTCTTTGCATTGCAGAAGCCCTAATCATTCAGTTAGAAGAACCAGAACTATGCATACAAAAGAAAATTATTCAGTCACTTCTACTATCATGGTAACAATTCTGGTGGTTTGACTTAACTTTTCCTTAATGTTTCTAACTACATACGACTCTTGCGTAATTTCGTATTTTACTTTGTTGCTATGTTAACCCTGAACACAACACAGTCATCAAACTATTCATGTTATCATGTAAGTAAAAGTCGTTTCTGACAACTCATCTTTTTTACTACTACCCTCTCACATAAACATCCGATTCCTCTGAACGCATTTTGTATTACGTAACTCCACCAAAAACTTACTAATTGTATTTTCGTTTTGAAAATTTTAATGTTCACACACATACAAAATAACCCATATATATTTCCTATTGTACAGCTATGAAAATGAATTCGCCGAAAAGAGACTTTTCGCTGAACTACTGGTCTTCTCTCTTTTAAAGTTGATTTCCTCACGAAGCAGTATTGATAATGATTTGTAGATTGAAGTCAAAAGACTTCCATTTAAATATATTCTGGTGCAACTTCATCCTTGATTGCTGATGGTAATCTTTCATGGCATTTTCTGAGACAATAATGAAACGTGAATTAGAGACGTGTAAATTAACAGCTGTCTGGTTCTATAATAAACCTGTAAGACTTGATTTTTGTCACTTAGTATGATGTCGAGCTATCAAATGAACGGGCAATATATGGTGTGACAGGCTGATCGAGTTTCAAAATAGGACTATGCACAGAAGTGCACCATTTCAAGCTGTGATATTGATATGCAGATCTAATTTTCTACATGGGAGTTTTATGTGCCTGTTTGTATTACGCCCACCCCACTTATTGATTTACCACCTGGTTTCCTCTCACCCTACTTATGGCCTTCGAAATCCTATTGGTTGTTCACTGTCCGAATTTATCAATGACATTAGTGCTTCTCAAGGCCATTTCAAACATATATGTGCATATATACGCAAGCGCTGTCAACCTTTTTTGACTGTTGTTTGAGACAGTAGAAACTCTTTTATGAACGTCCAGTCTTCTCTTCTGTCTTTAGTGGCCGGACGGCGTTATTGTTATCATTGACGTGCGATTAGGACAGGTTAGCAAGAGCATTTGGTTAGTATTCGCTCATAGTCTACTATGTCCTAGTGTCTGTCATAACCCATACTTTATGTGGTACATAAAGGCAGAGAAAAGGGGAGAGAAAGAGACGAAAAACAACTATGATTGACAGTAACATGAAAAAAACATGAAGGTTTAGTAGAGTTGGCCGATTAAAATGATGAGTGCATCTGTTCTATTGACAACGGTTTTGAGCCATACCACCAACAATGTCAAGCCATTGGTTGTTATTTATCCTGAGAACCTCAATGAGTCTGTGTTCGCCTCTCCGCCTGTTTGACTCAAACCGAACTGTCAAAGACTTGATAGACTCATATCGGCTAACAATGCCCATCAAGGAATTTGTTGTCTGGGTGCGCACAGTGCGTGTCCTAGCCATTCTAATTGATGTAGCTTAACAACTTCATCTGTTGATGTGAATTCCTCTCTTGGAATTTCACACCTAACCTCATCATTACTCACTGCATTATACTACTCAGAACGAGGGATAGAACAGATGCATTACTGGTCAAAGGCAGTCGAAATGTTTACTATCGAGGTAGGGAAGGTAATGTATCACTGGAATTTCCTTTATCAATTAACTTACCCCCCCCCTCCTATTAATCACACCTTTCATGAGCTACAAATACTTGCAATTATTTTAGGCTTGTTAGGATTCTATAAGCGTAACTTTAGAGTTTCATCTAGTAGTCGGACTTCGTAATTCATTTTTCGAAGCATCAAGGTCGGATTCGATTGTCTACTCTTTTGAGGCTAACTGTTAATTAGGTATTTTTCTTACTGGAATTTCTTTATAAGTAGACATTAGATTGATTCATTATAAATTATTTAAATTAATCCCAGTATGTTAAGAAAATCAAAACAAGATTTTTCTGAACGTTTCGTCGTGTAAGCCACAGCTTCTTCAGAAAAATCTTGTTTTGATTTTCTTAACACGCAGGGACTAATTTAAATCATTTATAATGAATCAGTCTGACTCGGCGCTCAAATTATTCCAGGAAGTTCGTAACACCTACGGTTTGGAAACCTATAGACATTAGATTATTAAAATATTCCCTGAAAACCAAGGAGAAGTGGATGCCGAATACATCACTGCTTAACACTCACAGTAGCAATATTGGATAAAGGCTTTAGGCATGGGATTAATTCTTGAGATAAGTTGAAGTCAGCAGTTGAAGTGAGGGAGAATGGTCTAAAGTTCTTATTCACTACTTTTCCATTTCCAGTAGTCCTTTAACCATTGTCAGTTTGTGAAGAAAATAACAACTGAAATCAGTTTGTGACCAAATCAGTCACACCCCCTGGAAACCAATATTTGAAAATTAATCTATTGCCCACTGATGACTAATGACAACAGGGTGAAATTGTCTGAGGTTCTAGTGAGAGGTCGACACCAATGAGTGGTATCCACCCAGTCACATGTGACGACAGGTACTCACGGGTGACAGTGGTAAGCGGTGGGGCTATATCTTATAAATTAACAGAAGTTAGGATTCATGAAGTGCCTATTTGGTTCCATCCTATTGGCTAAATGGTCAACGGGTTGGCTGACATCATAACCTGAAAGTCCCTAGTTCGATCCCTGGTATGGGGGAGTCATGTATGGGTACAATTGATGAGTCCCAAACTAGGACGAAGTCACTATTCAGTAATGCTTGGCTTTTAATGATCATCTAATAGAAGTTAGACCGTGATCAAACTTAAAATTTGAAAATTCACTAAATTTTCTACTGGTTTTATTTTTCCTGAGGCATAGTAGTTTGATTTTGCATTGACTTCAACGGAGGAGGTTTTGATTCACAACTTATTATTATTTCAGATGACAGTCATTCATCAGTTTGGAGTTTAAACTTAGGTATATTTCAGCTTGTTGCAGCGTTAATAAAAATAAAACATCTAACTATGCTTTAGAAGAGTTTCTCTGAGTTTAATATACTAACCCTGTATGTATCTGCATCTATTTGACAATTCGTTTATTTTTTTAATGTATACATATATTTTTTCGGTCTACAGAAATGCAACGTCGGTTTTAAAACACCCGCTCAATATCAACAACATTTAAAGAATGTGCATCGAGGCAGAAGATTTATTTGTCAAGAGTGTAGTAAGTTTCAAGTAGTCTTTTATCGCTAGTCATATGTAATATTTACTTGTTCTCAAGCATATCTGAATCAATGAATAATCCTCTGGATGTGATTAGTCTCTTTATACTTGATTAATTAAAAGATATTTCTTATATATATATATATATATATATATATATATATATATATATGTAGTATGTGCTGGTTGACATTCACAGACAATGTATGGTCAAGGAATTATAAAGAGACAAACTGAATTGCATGGAGGATTTCATCATGAGCTGACATCAGTTAGAGAACCACTGGTAAACCTAGGAGTACTGGCCAGCTGTTTCCTCCTAGTTTGGGGCTTTTCAGCAGGGGTTTGAACGCACGACCATCTGGTTACAAGGCTGGCGAGCTCTTAGACCATTTAGCCGCTGGGACCCGATCCAATGGTCAGTCCATGAATTCTCACTTCTGCCAATTGACGGCATAGCGCGACCATTTCGCAATGTCTTCGTCAATGAGTTACTGCCTCACCTTCAACCTTCTCCACCTCATTGGTCATGCCTTCCCACTAGAACCGAAGGTGACTGTCTGAATAGGGCCAGTCGCTAGTTTAATCAGTTTTCAAGTATCAGTTTTGTAGGGATTTTTTGTTTGTTTGACTGATCGGAGGATTTCATTATCCCGGGTTCAAACCCCGGTGGGTGCGTACTGATGAAGATTCCAGAATTAGGCTGACGAAACAGTTCATGATGAAATCCTCCATGCAATCAAACAAAAATCCCTACAAAACCATTACTTGAAAATAAACTGAATTCACAAATTGCAAATTACAGTTTTGTAGTTTTCACAGTTCGCGGTGATTATTTCACCAAAGTTTACTTTTGAAAGTGAGATTATTCAGATCACAATATGTGATTGACCTGATACTATAAGTGACTGTCAAGAAAAGCAAACATAAATGCATCACGCTACATACTACTGATTCATTGAGACGAGTAGTTGGACACCACTCACACTAAACAGTAGTAGTGTTTGCTAGTCAGATCGAAGTGATCTAAACTATAAATGATACGTTCATGTTTACTTTCTTGATTACCCTAAATGGGAAACTCAGTGAGGCGTTCAAAGTGCATACAGGAGTAAGACAAGCTAGCTGGCTGCCTATTATCACCGATGATATTCTTAATTGTGGTGGGGGCGAAGTTAAACTTTCGACACCACTAACCACCAATCAGCGAATTATCCAATGAGATTCACCAACGATGTCGAATTATCCAATGAGGTTCACGAACGCAGTTCAATGTTGTATAGCGCTTGATTCATTTCTAATGCGTGACCTTACAAGGCTATTGTTGCAATTCGAGGAGGTTAGCGTTTTCCAGTATTTCCTGGATTTGAGTTGCTCCGGAAAGAGCGAATTTGACTGTGTGGTGGTATCGTGACTTTAAAAAGCTATACCAAATCAACTGATGAGTTTGTTCATCGTTGTGCTATATGTTTGAAGCCTACTAACGCTAGAGAGGGTAAGCTGATAATTTTAATATTTCGTAGGAACTTTTTTCGCTAGGTCGCTTCTCTCCCTAAGGATAGCAGATAGAAAAGCAACTACTCTTATACCTATTATTACCAGACTTGTTAAGCGGGGGTCAAATATACGCACCGACGAGTGGAAAGGCTACAATTCGCTGTCATCTCTGGGATATATTCATCATAGAGTCAACCATTCAAGTGATTTTGTGGATCCCGTTATGAGGACACATACAAATTCTAATGAAGGATTTTGGGGCAGGTTGGAAAATAGGATAAGGGCTATAAATGGATCTCAAAATGATCTCATTTATGGTCATTTGGATGAATATATGTACAGGATATGGTGTAACTTCTCCATTGACAGTCCCATGCTAAACTGGGAGATTTTTCTCTCACATGTTCGAGAAAGATATCCCATGTAACTTTTTTATTCTCTGTTGTATGCCTTTTTCTACAAATATACATTTCCATTCATCATATATGCCTCTTTAATGTGATTGGTCCGTTCAAGGTCGTTTGCTGATTGGTTGTTAGTGGTGTCTAAAGTTTAACTTTGCCGTGGTGGGGACTGGATTATGCGTCAGAATGTGCTTGGGAGCAAGGAGACAGGAGTACGCTGGACGACTGATAAAAAAACTATAGATCTGGGTTTCGTAGATGATATATGTCTACACAAACTCGAAGACTTGCAAGCGAAAACCAACGAACTGGCTGAAGAGGCAGCGAAGACAGGACTGCAGGTAAACACAGAGAAGATGGAAGTGATGAAGATAACAGACCAATAGCAACAACAACCACCACCATTCACCATCAACGGAAGTAATTCAACAAAGGTTGCCTCCTTCACTTACCTGAGAAGCTTCGTTCCAACTACAGGTGGATGGCACGGATGAAGCTGTCAAGGTCAGAATCGGAAAGGCAAGATACACCTTTATCAACCTGAAACCAGTTTGGAAATCTTCTGCACTGCATAAGCTAAAAGTGTCAGGCATTTGTATCCATTTGTATCCTCTGATAGGATGTCAGTTCATGATGAAATGCTGTAACCAATCAAATCCTTGCAAACCAACACTTGAATATCAATCTAATGCTCACTAGTGACTAGCCCTATTCAGGTAGATAGTTAGCTGAGTTCTCTGGACAAGTCGTAATCAGTAGGGTACAGCAGGTCGGGTGGGGGGACAAATAGTCACCGATGAAATTGGCTAGTGGTCGCGCTAAATCATAAATTGGCAGAAGTTTGAATTCATGGGCTGACGATTGGATCGGGTCCCAGTGGCTACTAGCTCGCCTTGGAACTAGAAGGTCCTAGGTTTGAATCTCAGTTGGTGCGTACTGATGAGGGGTTCGAAACTAGGACGAAACAGCTGTCCAGTATTCCCTGCAGGTTTTCCAATAGTTTTCTAACCGATGTCAGTTCATGATGAAATCCTGTATTCCGATTTTATTTGGTTAAATTTAGTCGATTTTGAATTTTCTTCGCGTTGTTTTTTGTTGTTGCTGCAAATTCTAGATGGTCTGTAGACCGAACGATTGAAGTTCACAAAATAAAATAATCAAAAATTGAAATTTTACAGGATTCCACACTAGTTAAGAAACATTAGGATATAAAATATAATGCTTAGCTGTATTTCAGATATATGTCAAATTTTCACTGTTCACTTAAGTGATACACCAAGAAGTAAGGTGTATCTACGTTTATATCGATCTATTTTTGTAATCTCACCGTACGAACTTTCTACCTGTAAATTATAAAATACGAAACATTTAGCTGTATTCAACCAATGGGAGGAGATATTTTTGGCTACGTGTCAAGAGTTGACAGTACTGCTCAACAGTGCTGTGAAACAGAGTCACTAAAAGTAGAGAGAATTTACATTTGTTTAGGTGTTTGACCATCACAGCCTTTGTCACATCATCCATATACATGTGATCGATTTGTTGCGGGTGAGATGTATGTCCTTTCATAATGAGTTTAGCCATTCTATGTGACCTTTGAAATAATGTCAGATTTTCTCCTACTTATTTTGTCTTATACTCGTGAAATAACAACGGTGTTCTGTCGTAGCGTGATATTAAAGTGTTTTTAAAGTAAGATCGCGGGTCGGTTCATAACTTATTCGGAATATCTCTATTCATAATATATTTTCCACCATCTCCATTTGTGGGATACTTGGCTCTCATAGTGTCCTCATGAATTTTTATCGTCAGATCTGTCAGGAGCTGTGGGATATTATGCCGCCTGATAGTTGTGTATGAGGCTGTCAGAGGATTTTATTATGCTGTATGCTTTCGCCTCACCCAGTTGACGTTTGTGACCTGAAGTAATTTAGTGGTAGCGTCTCTTACTGCAACACTGGATGACGCGGGTTCGAATCTTAGAGTAGATATCATTTCTCTCAAGGTTGCGGATGCGTGCCGATAAACATGAAACTTAAGTTCAAGGATTTCTGCCGATAACATATATATATATATATATATATATATATATATATATATATATGTCAATTCTAACTTCTGCCAATTCACGACATAGCGTGACCATTTCGCAATGTGTTTATATACATAGAATATTCTAGAATAATCAACAGTATTGTTGTTTTGATAGCGTTATTAGAAGACGGAGACTGTCTGAAAAATGTGATGTATTAGCGCTATACATTTCGAACAATCTGATCACACTATAAATTATTTAAATTAATCCCAGCGTGTTAAGAAAATCAAATCTGATCACACATTTACTTGTCAAGTCAATGTATATATAGAAAGGTTAAATTAAACAAAGTGAGAGAAAACGGAATTAAGAATAATTAACACAAACGTTTGGTAATCCAATCAAATAAGGATTACCAAGGTAGGTTAAGAGTAATGACAAACTGTTTTTGAATACACAGGGGGGGGGCTTAAGTCTATGAATAGCTATAGCCTCTGCGTATTTCAATAAACGCCCTTGACCGTTTTTATAGATGACCTTAAAGGCTGAGTTAACATCAATCTTATGGTTCATCTCGATTAGATGTTTAGCAATAGACGAATTTGGTAGTCTGTCACCTGCATCTATTAGCTTGTCACAATTCATCTGTTTTTCTAACCATTTTGGGATATGCTCTCCCACCCTCACGTGCAAAGAGCGATTACTCCTCCATATGTATGTATGCCACACACACACACACACGAAAATTGGTAAATTGTATGGGATGTGATATAATCACTTGTGCACTTTTGAGGTTTACAGTGAAGCATATTTTTAGCTTTTTCCACAATTACAAGCTGGGCTGCATAGTAGGTTCTACGGATGATCGAATTCAACCTTTGTCTCACAGTCCTACTGTTTATTTCCCCGTCATATGGTAATTTGATAAAAACCTTTTTCTTAGGGACGGTATGGATTGTAGGTTTAGAGGCTAGTTGACTTCTACACCTGTTTAAAAATTTCAAAGGATATCCGTTTTCAGCAAGAGTATCCATTAATATTTCGTTTTCTCTGTCCATAACATCAGCCGTGCAAATACGCTGAATCCTCTTGAATAGGCACTTCACCAAGCCCCTCTTATACTGTAATGGACAGAAGCTGTGAAAATTAAGGTATTGCCCTGTCCAAGTGGGCTTTCTGTAGATAGACCGTCTTATTGAGCCATCATCTCTCCGACTCAGAAGTATGTCTAAAAATGATAGCTGGTTGCGACTTTCTTCCTTATTTGATTGGATCACCAAACGTTTGTGTTAATTATTCTTAATTCCGTTTTCTCTCACTTTGTTTAATTTAACCTTTCTATATATACATTGACTTGACAAGTAAATGTGTGATCAGATTGTTCGAAATGTATAGCGCTAATACATCACATTTTTCAGACAGCCTCCGTCTTCTAATAACGCTATCAAAATTTATAAAAGGGACTTATTGTTTTAAAGTATTGTTGTTTTTTAAATACTATCAATTTGCCAATATCAGTGAAATCAGAGTTCAAGAAAGATGCATAGGTTAAAATGAGTCTAAAAATGTAATAGTAAATAGAATATCAAATAAAATTAAAAATAAGGAAATCTCCACAAAAAATTAAGGATAATAAAAGCCTTGATGACCAAGGTAAGGAAAGCGTCTTAACCAATTTCTTTTGGATAGATAGATTAGGCTCTTAATGTAGATTCCAACGGCCTCAACAATCTGTAACAGTCGAACTCTTGAGGTGAAATGAAACTTAATTGGTATATGTTATATTGTAACAACAGAAGACAAGGGCCAGGCAACATATCGTTTATTAAAGAAACCAACACATATTTATAGATTTACATGTACATATTATACATTATTGTTAGCAGAAAAATACAGTCCTCTGATTGGTTGTTTCTCACAGAAAGTTAACGTTGCATCTCTTTGTGACTGTTTCTTGAATGTCAGACCATCTATATGTTAACTGTATCCGCCTACGCAAAGCCTTTGTTCTCACTTTTCTCACGACCAATATTGAGGACGTAAACATTGACGTAAATTACTGTCCACCAATTTTGACTAACAACCAGCTCTCACCACAATATGACTTTGAAGGTCTTGTTTACATTAATTCTGTGTTGTGTATCTACGAGATGAGATAGAAAAGAATTATGAATGGACTTCGTTTCTCGCTTACTTAACCACGCAGAATGGTGTTCGAAAATCTGACGAACACGCCTAATTGTTCGGCTTCACAGGAGCAGTCAAATTGATAGATACACATAGAAGAAGCGAAATTAGGTAGTTTCTGTTTAACTCCCAAACGCTAAATACGGGTGGTTTTGAAGACGTAGCATGCATACTTCAGCAGCACTGAATGCTCTTTTTACCGCATTCCTTAGGAGTTGTGTTATTATCTTACTGATGTATAACCGAAGCGGAAATTATTGAAAAGAATATTCCTTGCTCAAATTTTCTTTTGTTTTCTTCATATTTGTTTAATTACTTGTTATTGTTCATTGGTATAAATGTTTTTTAAACCTATAATCGGTACATTTAACTTCATTTCTTACTTGTTCATTTGGCTGGCATTTGTCAGATGCGTTATTTAGTACAAAGGGTAATTTAACTAAACACTTTAATCAAGTTCACAATCAGAATGCTGGTTTGTCATGTCCTATTTGCGAAAAACATCTTAGCAATAAGTAAGTTCTATTTTGGCCACAAATATCACCCTTGTGTTTGCTTTGTATATTCGTTTTTATGATTTATTTCGTAAGGAATGTATATATAAAACTTGGAATTAGTTGTTTTTACATCATTCATTAGACTTTTATCTAAAGGGAACCATAAATATAATACTCTTCACACTAGGATGTTCTCCTATCCGAGATTTTGATTAAGAACTTTAAATATGAAACTCTAATACTTTAATAAAATGTGAATCACCCCAGAAAATGACTTCCTGATTGATGTTGGAAGTTCCACCGAAATATTCTTAACCCCACAAAAATGAAAAAAGATATCAGACTACCGCAGTTCAGAGTTTTAGTTTCCAGTTGAAGACAGTACACTATTTTATGTGTTCTTCGATTGTCAATCGGAGTTGTATCTCTGAGGCAATCGAAATCCGTTATTCAGGAATCCAAGTGACAGAGCTGTGATAATCAATAGTTTGACGCAGATGACTTTGTGTATTGCGTAACCCCCTTATTGCATTGTATTGCATTCTTTATTCTTTTTGATCTTTTATTCCCGTTTTATTATTATTATTGTTCCCTTGGATTCCTAGTAGAACATAGGGCTTCAAGTGCACGTCTCCACTTGCTTCTGTCTTCTGCTGTACTTTTCACCTTCATCCATGTTTCAACTCCTCTTCACACGATCTCCTCCATGTCACCCTTGGACGTCCCACATGCCGCTTCCCTTTCGGGGTTCCACTCGAGCGATGGCCTGACGCGCGATGTCACCGACCGGCCTCCTCAGCCTCGAGTGTCCAATCCATCTCCACTTTCCCCTGCATATTTGTTGGTCGGCGATTGGTTCTTGTTTTGTTTCTTCCCATAGTTTCTTGTTGGTGATTCTTTCCGGCCCGGCCATTGATCTTCAGTATAGATCCAGCGAAGACAGTTGTTGGTTGATAAAGGTCTGCAACAAGCTGTTGAAAATATTCTTTGTCACCCACCCGTCAAGTTTCTGATCCGTATAGAAGACTGACTGACTTGACGTTTGTATTGAAAATTCGACTGGATTTTGTTGTTGTGTTAAGTGACGAAGATTTCCAGATTGGTTTCAGGTTGATGAATGTGATCCTTATATATACCTGGCTGATACTGAAACTCAATACCTCTGTCAACAATTAATCAGTAGTGTAGAGTAGGAATAAGTTTATGTATAGACTTCTTATTAATTTGTTATTGAGATTCACTGAGCAAGACTATTGTGGCGTGTGCTACTGACAATAAATTGTAAGTAGTATATAAGTAACATTTTCTACAAGAATCTTGAGTTAAAGGGCGATGGAATAAGTAGCAAAAAGAGGAAATAAAAATAAGCGTGAAGAAAAAAGTAGCGGAATACGAATACTTTTTGAAAATTAAGGTCTCAATGAAATGTTTTCCTATTTTGTTGTCACTGCACGTCATTTTGCTAATCAACACTCCACTGCCAAATACGACTGTCGCTGTCTTCGATCAGATGGAAACATCATAGCCTATAGCTTTCGAAAAGCAAAACACCCTATGTTTCCTGAAGAATCTTTTAGCCGTTGCTGAGTTGGTGGGCATCCAGGAGCCGACGTTGAAGATAGTGTTGCTGGCATCGATTTTGAGAGCTTGAGTAAAGGTTGCTAATGATAGCGTAGGGCATTTAGGGAACCTGGGAATTTCTGTCAGAATGCTTTTTGATGGAGTTCAATAGTTTTGGAGATAGACAGACAGAAAAAGCAGTAGTCTGTGTAATGATGACATCAGTCAGGGAGACCCATCGGAGTTGGTACTGAAGTCAACGAACCTACTTCGCCGCACATTTTCTACATGTGATGAACAGTCCTAGATCCACTTATTGACGTTAAAGTTTATGGAGAGGTCATCAGGCTGCATATCCTAGCAAATATAACTGTTTATCATGGCAGGGGAAAGCAATTAGATAACTATTGAGAGCAAACGTAGCTGCAATAGTGACACAGAGGAATTATTCATAATATGCTTCTTTTCTCTTCATTTCATGCTTTCTATGCTGCTTTAAAACCGTCTACCGTCTCCGTATTTGCAACTTAACGTATCGCTGTGCTATTAAGATTCTGCAGATGGCGTTGCTGACATACTACTTACAAATTCTTGTTAGTAGCACACATCGCAGTATATACTAGTGATTGATATGTGTAGTGAAAAACCACTCACACTAAACAAGTAATGCTTGCTAACCAGGTCGGCCTTTCCCTTTGTTTGGTATTTTTCATATGTTCATATAATGGCATTTAAATAAATAATGCAAATCCGATTCTTGTAAACTTTACCGCATACCTTAAGAAAATTAATGCAACCGTTTACTGGTATGGTCAAGAGTATTTCTTAAAATTCACATTATTTTAACAGAAAAACGTATGGTCTGATCTGAAGTACTTGTTTAAAAAACTATCTCCACTTTTCCTTACAGTACTTTAATGAATTTTCTCTTTATTGGTTTTAAATTAGTCCTCATTTATATATTTGTTGAACACCGACTGAATTTAGAACCTTTTTCTACCTTAATTAAGTCTACCGTTATCTCATGAAATGCCCCTTAAACACGACCTGACGCAGCCGATAGTGGGTAGACTTTAGTTTTTCTCGCGAAAAGCTTTCATGTGGCCGTGTGTTCATAGCCCTTGCCAGGTAAGTCTTGTTCACTGCCTTCATGCAGCAGGGGTGTACCTTAAAAAAGTGAAAGAGAGACTGCGAATGTCTGGTGCTTACAACCAGACTGGTAGACATGCAAGTCCATCGGGGGGAACTGGAAGCGTTTGATTTCAAAGTTATACTGTACATAGGCTCCAGAATCCAATTGAATCAAATGGCGTATGAACCTGTTTCGGTCATCTAAAAGTATGGGACGTAGCTGCTCACGCTTCTCCACTGCTTTGTGGATAAGACATCAAGTTAAAGGGTCGAGGGTTGTTCCTTAAAATAACCACCTGCTTCTATCTGGCGTATGTGTGCAGTATCCCAGCTCTGGCACAAACTATGAGACTTTGTGTGTCGCATCTCTTGGCAGCTATAATGTGCCAAGTTCGCGTTTTTTTTATTCCTTTCCGTTCCCAGTGGAACATAGGGCTTGAAGCTGAGACTTGAAGTTTCTGTAGCAGTGGTGTTTATTTTTACGGGATGGGGCTGCTAGCCTCATGCCCAACCTTCCCACTTTGCCAATCTTATTACTGGGTAAGTGAGGTAAAGGAGTGCGTCGGTGACCGGGGATCGAATCCCGAACCACCTGCGTGGTTGGCGAGCATCCTTCCACTGTGCCACCGACGCACAAGTAAGCGTTTTAATAGCATATTACCTCATGAAATAAACGTCAATATGACATTTAGTATATTTTGCACAGAAAATTCTAAATCAGTAATCGATAGCCGGATATCACGCCTACGCCAGCGATTGGTCCCATCGATGACCCCATAGCCCCACACTATCGATCAGTCCCGAGAATTGCTTATTAATTAAAAGGAGAATGAATATTCATTGTGTTCTACAATGAACAGTTTTATTCGCCTCTGTGCTTTATACGACGCATTCAATGTAAACGAGAACTTTTTATAACATGTTTGTTTGTTTATAGAGCTTAAACATGAAACACTTAGTGAAATCTATGTAATGACGCCTTAAATGTAATTATTGACGTATAAAATATATATATATATTTGAAGTTTCAAACTATAATATGCATAATACCGTAGTTTTTGTGTGTGATTCTCATTCAACATACATATTGACGAAACGTTTGGTAGAATAGGTTATCTCATTTACGTCGATTGCATACGCAAACAGTTTGTTAAGTTACAGGATCTGTTCGTCTTGGATTTTTATTTTAATTCAATGATATTTAAACCAAGGTAGTTTGTATGTTTACTCACAGTAGTATCAAGGTGGAATGAGTAAAGCAAATAGTACAGGTAGAGATAGTAGAAGATGACTGTCAAATTCAGCCCTGAGACTCGATGGAATTAGGTGATCGTCAATCGTATCATTTTTAAAAAGACAGTTTGATAGTTGATGTGATTTGCAAATGGATACGGAATTAGACAGTGTGCTCAATAAGACAGTCCTATTAGCTTCCTTATACAACATGTGAATAACTCACTATCCAGCTGTAATTCAATTAGAGAAGAACATAACTCGTAATTAATCTTGGTTGAGGAGTTAGTACATAATTTTTGTTGGTTTATTTCAGCATGAATAAATATCAGTTTGAAGAATACTTGAAAAACTCTGGAGTACTGAACAGTCGTTCTGTCATAGTTCCGGTATATTAAGTGATTTGTTGGAATTATACTGCAAATTGAGAGCAGTTGAAGATTTTAGGCCATGTGATTTCAACACAACAACGGAAGACTGATGTGCTTGCTCTATGACTTGACTCGATCACTCATTGGGGCGATGGTTGTGTGTTCCAAACTTGGATGAAACTTCTGTTTAGTCTTCAAGTGTTTTTCCAACTGTTTTCAACAAATTTTCTACACACCCGTATAACTAAATAATACTGTTTGACTGTTTTCAATATCTACACTCGATAATATGTTAATCAAGCATTTATGCGGTAATCATAGATAATTTAGCTTAATTTATCTCAAGTCAGTGTGGAGGTCAACAGCACTCAGCCTCAAAAATAAGATCCGGATTTTCAACTCCGGTGTGAAGTCAGTGCTACTATACGGATCAGAGACTTGCACAGCGCGTCATGAAGGCCACGTCGAACAAAATACAGACCTTCATCAGCAACTGTCTTCGCTCAATACTACTCAAGACCAGAAGGACAACCAGAAAAGATCAGCAACAGGGATCTCTGAGAACGATGAACCAACCCAGCAGGAACCGATTGTACAACAAATAGGCAGGAAGAAATGGAGATGGATTAGCCATACTCTGAGGAAACCAGCAAGTGACATCACTAGACAAGCCCTTGAGTGGAACCGGAACGGGAAGCGGCTAAATGGTCGTCCAACGGTGACTTGGAAGAAGTCATGTGAAGAGGAGATGAAAGCATGTGGGCAGACCTGGGGTCAGGTGAAAACTTTAGCAGAGAACCGAACGCAATGGAGACGTGTGGCTGAAGCCCTATGTTCCTCTAGGGATTAATAATAATTTATTGATTATCTGAACTGCTATAACACTTGATCTTGGCTAAGTAGGACGTTTTCAGACTTGATTCTCAGTGTTCTCACCAGATACTCGTGCTATGCGAGACTGATATAGCTTGACGGATTTTTTCTTTCAATCTAGACACCTAAGTTGTTCTGTTCTCAACCTTGGATATGTAAGTTATTTATTAAATCCTGTTGTCTATTTATATCTGTTTTCAAGATTCAATTTAGAACGACACATTCGCTTGGTTCATACAGAAAAGGAAATTGCATCATCATCTTCGGCTTCCAAAGGAAACAACACTACAGTCAGTGGTGTCCCACATTCGGCTACCACTGAATCCAATGAAGAATGTTCATCACATCAAGATGATAATACAACTGTTGTTCCAACTGCTAGTGGAACAAATCCGCGTGGATATTATCTTTATCTATCGGATTCAGGAGGTTATCAGTCAGTTAACACAACTGCACAATCAACAAATGCAAATCATTCTGTAACAAAACAATCCATAATTCAGTTGAATTCGGAAAATGTCGATTTACAATCTGTTGCTTTCGTTGCAGACATCAGTCTAACACCATGTCATCCAGCAAATCCTGAGGCTGAAATCGGTGTCGGTGGTAAAACTTGGAAACGGAATATAAGTATTGTACAGTCTTCAAAACAAACTGTTAATGAAGATTCATGATAGAGTGACTGTATTATTGATTTACATTATACTAGGTTGTATTTTTATAAAAGCTTTTATGAAATGTACATAATAAACCATATTTTTAAGTCGATAATCACTTTACTCTTTTCGTATTACGAGACAGAAGTCAATAAATAAATGTGTTCTTATTATCAAAGCAGTGCAAATAAAATACAATTTTGTATTTTTGGGTAGTGAAAAGTATTTATCAGATCTTTGTATGTTAACAACCTGATTGACAAGTGATCAAGTACAGTTAACATGTAATTAATATGTACAGTGTAGATAGTTGTCTCTTACTCTAGTTGTTGGAAGACTTAAACTGTTTCGTGCTGTTCCTTTGCATGCATGTATATGTTTGTAACAAAAGAAGACAAGGGCCAGGCAACAGATTGTTTATTAAGGAAATCTACACGTATTTATATATATTTCATGTACATTATTATAGCTTATTCAAGCAAACAAACACAGCCATCTGACTGGTTGTTTCTCACAGAAAGTTGACCTTGCATTTCCTTGTGACTGTTTCTTGAATGTCAGGTCATCTATATGTTAACTGTATCTGCCTACGCCAAGTCTGCTCTGAATGGTTGTTGTTGAATCAGTCTTGTTCGTATTTTCTCACGACCAATATTGGGGACATAAACATTGACGTAAATAACTGTCTACCAATTTGGCTAGTAGCCTGCTCCCACTACATGTTTATTGAATCGTGTTCACCTTTAATAATCGATTATTATTAGGCACATCTCGTGTATTTTGGTCAATCTCCACAAATATATTTCCTGTGCTTTCAATTTCCTGGCGTTAGGACTGGCTAGCAAACTACCTGATGAAGGTACCTAACCGACAGCAACAACAACAAGCACTAGTTACTATAGAATGCAGTAATCTAGAAGAAAGTCACTCTCCTCTTCCTTTTATCTAGACGGCATCGTTTCAGCCACTGGCGGCACAGATGAGAGTGTTAAAGCAATGATTAGAAAGACAAGACAGGCATTCAGTACTCTGAAATCACAGTGGAAATCCGCTGCACTTAATACAAGGAACACGATCTTGATTTTCACTGCGGAAGTCAAGTCAACGTTCCCATATGGTTCAGAAATTCGGCGTGCGCGACACGAGAAACACTTTCAACAGCAACCTTCGGTCCGTACCAAACATCGGATGACCGGCTGGTCGGAGATGATAAGCTACACGAAACTCTAGCAACGAATCAATCGAGAACGTATGTTCCCACAACATGTAGAAGGGAATGAAGATAGATTGGACACACACACAACACAATCCGATCCCTGGAGTGAAACTTGACTGGCAAACGACGAGTTGGATGTTGCTCAGATGCTGGCAGGGAGGAGATCGTATGAGAAGGAAATGAAAGGTTCAGAGCAATCGTCGAGCTCTGCAGAGAATAAGATGAAATGGAGATGTCCTTTTAAAGCCTTACGTTCCATTTGGAACCCAAGGGAATAAAAATGTGAAACCGACGAAGACCGCTTTCTGACAAAACTGTGACTTTGAAGTCTGTAAGCCACGAATTACGTGGAAAACTAGATAGCATATTAAGAGACTACTCAAATATTCTAGGAGGGTTGTAGTTCCATGGCTTACACTGTGTAATTAAAAATTCCGGTGTGTCAAGTTCGAAAGTAACTACAAACTATCACCAACACTGTTCAGTGTATAAAATGAATGATATGTCTCAGGTATTGAATAATCATTAATACTGAATAGTAAGGCATGCAAGGGAAGCTACTGAACAGAAAGAAACTATGAAAATATATTTCTATCACACTTAGTTAAATGAACTAACTATTACACAACAAACAACATTATTTGACATTTTGAGATTATGAAGTAAGTTCAGTGGATGGCAAATTCAACATTAGCAAATGTTTTCTTTTACCTGTAAGATTATCTGTGCTTTATTATTCTAGACACAGTTTTTAGTAAGCCGATTGTGGGCTAAAAGTAGCTACTAAGATCTCAGTGGACTTATTATCGACTGGACTGAGCTTCAGTATCGAACTTTGCACAGAAGTGTATCAGTCCGAGTTGCCACACTTCATGTAGCACACTTGTGGAGAAAAGAGAATAAAAAGAACTATAATAATCGTTGTAGAAAGAATAGTAATATGGAAAAACATTAGGGTTCAACGGCTGTGGAAGATTACAAAAATGAAGAAATCTTCTCCAATGGGAACTGTTTTGAGTCATGTCACCAGTACTCTCCATCCATTGGTTCTTAGCATCAAGACTGCCGCAACCACGCAGTGTACACCTCCTTACATGGCAGACTGAAACTAACTGTGAAGGACTTCATGAACTGGTGACAAGTTTTATTTGACCACCCCAAGTGTTTTCCTACCCGACCCTATGTCAGCTACTGTAACTCTTCGGGAAAGGTGGTGGTTTGGCAAAAGTAGCACGTACCGTAGCCATCTGAATGGAAATATTGAAGTGTTGGTTTGCTGGGATTTGATTGGTGCAGGAAGTCCTGTGTGAGTACGACTACTCGCTAATGGCATTCTCTAGCGGTCGCGTCATATCGTGAATTTACAGAAGTTGGAATTCCTGGATCGCGTCCTAATGGTTTAAATGGTCTACAAGCTCGCCTTGTAACTGGAAAATCTTGAGTTCGAGCCCCAGGGAGTGCGTACTAATGAAGAGTCCCAAACTATGACGAGACGGCCGTCCAGTACTCCCGGGTTTTCCAATGGTGCTCTAACCGATGTCATTTCATGATGAAATCAATGGATATAGCTTTATAACCTCATCGATTCACTTCCCTTCCTTACATAACACTCTACGCCTAACCTCACGCCATTATACCACTTAAAACAAAAGACAGAACGCAAATATCTGTGGTGAAACATAGCTAGTCTTTTTATACCTTCATTTTTCAATGGCATGTCTCGCAGGCATAAAATAGAACTGGGCAGACCACTGCGCAGTGTACTCGTCTTTTGAATGACAGGTGGATAACACATCTACGACAGAGATGATGTGAGTCGGCAAGTGCCATACTAGCCTTTCGTATCCGTCTCTTCACGGATTAACATCTGTCTCCTATAAGATATGCGGAAATCCGACTATCTACTCGTGAATTGTGGTACACTAAAAGCGGTATTTTTCTATAGGTGTACAACAACCTTAAATCAGAAGGCACAAGTAAAGGCCTGCTACTGTGCACTAGTAGCAAAGTTTAATTTAAAAGTGTGCCGAAAAAATTAGCGGTGCTTAACTGTTCATTATATAATAAGACACTTGAAGAAGTATCCAATTACAGATAATAAAACAATACAATAGTAAATATTCAGTAATGATACACGAAATTGATTTTGACAAAAAAGTCTCACATTCGACAGGTGAATTATTTATAGAAAAGTTTTATTGTAATCAAGTACTTTGTTCAATGGACTATAAAAAATGCATATCATAATTGATGGATAAATATTTATATGTTCACCTTTTTACAGTTTGTATATACCACCGTCTATTTGTATTATAGGCAACCTGTTGTCAGTCACTACACTGCTACTGAGTCACACCTTTTTTGCGTGAGGATCAATCATCCTATATAAGAATGGTTAGTGAACAAAGAATATTCCTCTCGATAACTTCATCATCGGGCTCTACAGTTATATATCATTATAGTGAATGAATGAATTAGTGTTATGAACAACATTAATGCTGTTTAAATAACATTGAATCAATAACAATATCAATAGATCACAGTACAATAGCATCAACATAACAATACACTGAATATTAGACAGGCTAATTATGGAAGATAATAAGACAAATTCATGAATTTATAGTCTCTGCTGAAGGCTAGGGCAGTGGTAGTGGTCGGACTTGCTTCTTTTGCACACAAAGCACTAGTTGCTTTAGGAGAATCGCGATAGCCTCCACTGTCTGTAGTATGCGGTACCTGGATGTTTTTGACAGTTTGTTTGTTACCCGATAGATGATGGAGAAGGACTCCTCGATATTAGCTTTGTGGCCAGTTCAGACTAGGTGTTCTAATATTGAGCTATTCATGATTTTCACTACAAACTGGTAGATGTTCCTGAGCACGAGAAATCAAGTTCCTAGAGCAACGGTCAATATAACTCGCTCCACAAGGGCAGCTGAAATGGTAGATACAATTAGAAGTGGCTAGTCTAGGTACTTCATCTTCCAGTCGAGGAATCACCATCGGTTGTGTAGAAAATATGACTTGTAGTTTACTAGCATTAAAAGTCCTTTGAACAAATTTCCTTAACTTGTTAGCAATCATTTCACTAGGTGCGTCATATTTGAATTGCAGTCATATATAAAAGGGCGTCTTATTTACAGATGGAGAATAGACCTTTTCTGCTTTCTTGATGAACTTCTCTGAACAGCAATTTTCAATCAAGGTATCATATACAATCCTTAGTTCATTTTCAATTATCTCTTCTGAGCTCTAACCGTCACTAAGGGTCCTTATTAAATTTCTTTTGTACTGGAAAGGAAAGATATGAAAATGTGTATTTTGTCCTGTCCATGTACTTTTCCTATGCAAATTTCTCTTATAATACCATCTGGTTTTGCTGTAAGGTGGACATCTAGGGAGTCAATTCTATTTTGGGATTTCTCTTCGCACGTGAATTTCATAGCAGAATGTACTTCATTCAAGTGAGTTATTATTGTGTTCTTATCCAAATCACTATCTCAAAGAATAAACGTGTCATCCATATTCCTGTAATACAATGAGAATGTTTTGATAAGGTTGTTCAAAGGTCCATTTTCTAGTCGACTTAGAAAGAAACCTTACAAAATGTGACCCAATGAGGGCCCATCTCCACCCTATCCACTTGTCTGTAAAGTGTGCCATCAAATTCGAAAGTAACATTCATGCTACACCTTAATGTCAATTCTTTTAGGATTTTCGTTGGGATGCCAATATTGATTGACTGGTTATACACTTGTTCGCATATGTAGTTAACAGTTTCTACTAGAGATGCATTTGT